GAGAACAAAGAACCTCCTGGACGGGAGTTAAACACAGAAAGAAGGTTGAGCAGGAATCACCTCGGAAGATGAGATCAGGGAGGGAGAAGAACCCCAAATCTCAGTAGAACAAAAGGGCTGTGCAGAATAGAAGCATTTAGTGTCGACAGATAACGACACTGGCTCATCCAAAATCCTATTGGCTGACTATGGTAGATGTGAGTGGAGGGATGGAGTCGCGGGCTGCACCTCACAAGGACGGAAGAAGATCATTGGCATTATTGATTGGCCACCAGTGGTGTCATGAAGTACGACCTTTAGAGTGAGCGCCACGCACACCTGACCAGACCATTCTGTCTGCTAGAGGTTAGTTAGAGGAGGAAGAGCCGAACTAATAGAAAAGTTATGAAATGATTGAGTGATGAGTCGAGCGAGACTAAGTGATTGTGAAGAATAACAACAAGAGATTTGTTACCTTTCCGGAATGATAGCAAGGTACAAGGTGGAAACAGACTACATAGCATTAAATTCGGGGGAGAACGAAATTCATGTTGCTATCAGCTGAAGAAGCTAGCAGGTGTAGATATGATACCCTGGGGACTTGTACCTCGTTGAGCCCTATCTATAAAACTGGTAACCGCAGACTGTGCATACTAGAATTGTTTGAAGGGAGGGGAAGGAATCAAAAGAATCTGCCAAGTAGAGGTATTAACAAACTCGGCATTGCCACAAGCTATCAGTGTTTCAGACGGGGTGTGGGCAGTAGCCACACAAAAACATATCAGCCTGTCTAGGGTATGTGGGGAGAGTCCACAAGGACATTAAGAATAAGGCCACCGTTATCCCTGGTGACGCTACCCATGGGATGTTCGGCGGTTGGGGTGTCCATCTCCTTGCCCCCCTATTACCAGATGGAAGAAGGGTATGAAGAAAAGATTCACTCATAGAGATGATTGGTAGAGGCTTAGTCAATTGTACAGAATTATGGGAGCCGATAGTGAAGAGATTCTCTAATGTCACCTTAAATAAGATGCCAGTATTAATGAAGCCAATAGAAAAGATCGATATGGATCACTTAAGGGATAAGTTAAGTGCGTTGGGAGACGAAGGTGTAGCTTGGGGAAGACGATGAGCAGATCGCGATAAGTTGGTCAATAGTGATGGGTACATTCCTAGTTATAGCCATCGGGGTGTAATAATATGGAAGATTAAGAGTAAGAGAAGATTAGCGAACGACAGTCTAGTGAGCATGCAACAACTCGAGAGGGAGATGCCGAGCAGTGTTCCTTACTCAGACAGGACTGGCGAAGAAATTGCTGAAAGACCAATGGAGGAGGCTGGCGTGAGACCACCACGTGCGGCGGGAAAACCTCCCACGGCAGAGAGGAAAACATTGACCAAGAAGAACAAACCCTAGTGAACACATCTGCACCTACAAACACACGCACACATTACCTTGCATGTAAAACAAAAGAAAATGAAAAGAACATTTCATTGCATGTAGAACAAAAAGAAAATGAAAAGAACATTTCATTGCATGTAGAACAGAAGAAAATGAAAAGAACATTTCATTGCATGTAGAACAGAAGAAAATGAAAAGAACATTTCATTGCATGTAGAACAGAAGAAAATGAAAAGAACATTACATTGCATGTAGAACAAAAAAAATGAAAAGAACATTTCATTGCATGTAGAACAGAAGAAAATGAAAAGAACATTTCATTGCATGTAGAACAGAAGAAAATGAAAAGAACATTACATTGCCTGTAGAACAAAAGAAAATGAAAAGAACATTTCATTGCATGTAGAACAAAAGAAAATGAAAAGAACATTTCATTGCATGTAGAACAAAAGAAAATGGAAAGAACATTACCCTTGCATGTTAGAAAGTAGAATAAAATTGCATGAGACAAATGCATGGTGCATGTTAAATGATGTAATTGGGTTTAGGTGTCATTTACGGGTAAATGACAAATCGGTTAGGAGGGATTGTGGCACCTTGCATTATTAGAAATATTCATAGAAATATGATTTAATTTTTTCTTACTCGGTTTACTAAACAGGTTGTTGATTTTTTTTTAAAACGGAAAATAATTGAGTTGAAAATAATTCACTAAGATTGTACCTGGACGATCCTAAGGGAAGAAGAAGGAAGGGGAAAGAGAGGTCGAGAACAAAAAAAAAAACGGTCATTAACAAAAACACGAGTCAGAAAGATATCTTAGCTAGCATGTTGACCGAATTTTTTAAAGACAATTGGAAGAATAGAATTAGCAATAATAAAAAGAAAGAAAGGAAAAGACATGATATCAAAACGGGCCGCTGATGTAGACCAGATATCGTCAAAGCATCTGACCGACTTTTGCGTGGAGAGACCTCCTTATCAATTTGGTTTAGAACAATAGAAATGAAATTTTTAATCAGAGAAAAGTGTCTTTGGGTTGAGGGGAGGACCGGTGGAACGATATACAGATCCTGACCTGTTAAGAATTGGACACCCACGTTAATAAAGTGGAGACATTTTCAAAGTAGATAATTAAGATTTTCGACTATCAGGAAAAACAAAGAGGTAAAAAAGGGACAATTGCTTTTGGCTCACAGAGGGCGCCAAGAAGGCGGAAAAGATCCTTTCTGAAGTCAAGTCTAATTAGCGGCGGGCTGTTTGACAAAGTCCAGGTGAGAGAAAGCCAAGATTGTCATTTTGCGTACGTGCAAAAAAAGGCAAAAGTGGATTTTGTTTTTTAAAACAAGAACGATGTAACCACGCCCGCAACAAGAGGAGAAAGGATGTTCGATCAATAACAATTGGTCGGAGACGGTCACGTGATCTGCGGAAGAGAAGGGACAGAAATGCTCGATCAGGAACGATTGGTCGAAGACGGTCACGTGATCTGCGGAAGAGAAGGAAAAGAAATGCCCGATCAGGAACCATTGGTTAAAGCGGTCACCTGACATACGAGAGACTAAGAGAGATGGATGCGCCGCCCCACCAAAGGTACTGTGAGGAAGTAGGGGTGAAAACAATAGCGATAATGAGAAGACAGAATTAATGCAGCTTTTGGAATTATCGAGAAAACCCTGACGCCGACAGACCCACCCCAGTTTGTTGCGGCGTCAATATAAGCAGGACCCCAGTCGACAGAAATCAGTAGAGTTGGAGTTGGAGTTGGGGTGGAGTTGCAGCTGGACCGCGGGCAGGGATAGAGCCTGAACGCGGCCATCGGGCCCGATTCACTCGCCCCTTTGCGGGCAGAAGAATCCTCAGACAAGAAATCCTTCCAGCCCAAGTCGAAGACAGGAGAACTTCCAGCCCAAGTAGACGAAGAAGAAGATTGCCTGAAAGCCTGAGAAGAATTGGAGATGCAGACAAGCCGAAAGTCGATGAGAAGTTAAAGTTCAGCCCCGGACGGCAGTGAGAAGAGACCACCTCAGACGACAGAGAGTTGCGGCTAAGTTGAAACAAGAAATCTTCCACCAAGTTGAAACAGGAAAACTACCAGCCCAAGCAGACGAAGAAGAAGAAATACAACTCAAGTCGGAGAGAAGAATCAACTGCGAATGATCGATAGAAATTAGCCCCAGTGTCGAACTGAACCACACTCCGACATACATACATGATTCTAGAAAGTAGGTAATTCGACATTTTTCTATTGTGTGATAGAAAGCTTGGTGCCATAGTCCACAGAGCGGGTCGGGAATTGAGAACAATTTTGTTTTTATGTAACGGACATTAAGATATAAAAGGTTGTTACCCTTTTTATCAGCAATTTTGTTTAGTGTCGTGAGTTTCTCTTTTTTTTGTGTTTTGCCACCCCGTCGGACTCAACTTGTATCGGCCCCAATCCCTGCTGGTCCCGTCTGTCTAAGATCTAAACACAGCGTGGGTAGACAGACCGGAGATCGGTACAGTTGCTTTAGTGACCAGGTATTGGAAGCGAGTCGAGAAAGGCGAGGCTGGTGATCATCTGACCAAGGGGTTGGAGCGGCACGCTTGGACCCAGGAGGAGCGACCAGGAGGAGCGACGTCACCGTTGGCGCCGTAACCAAAGGATCCGACCCTGGGCCAGGTGTGTAACCGTCACAATGTCATTTGCAACGAATGAAAGTGTGAGTGATGTAATGGATAATGGCTCGGAATTGTTAATCGGAGACCTGAGTTCTAATTCCCGCTGGGTTCGTTATATTCACTCACTGGCAAATATCCTTGAGAAACGTATGAATCCACCTCTTCTCCTCCAGCTATGGGTTAATTAATATTGGTATTCCTAAGTGGTCACCCTTCTAGGTTATGGAGAGCCGAGTTTAAGTTCCCGTTGTATTCATCCTATCTTACGCGTAAATACCTCTGGGAAAGACACGAATCCTCTTCTAATCTCCAAGCTATGGGTTAATTAGTAAGACTTGCATAACTAAAGCATTATTTTCTCAAAATAAATTCTTAGAGTCTAAATATATTTTCTGGCTTTAAATAACCTGTAAAGGACTGATAAACCGTAGAAAATCAATCAAACAAATATTTCAAGGTTAAAAGTGCTTGGCCAATAGGTTGGCGAAGCATGAACTCTTCCTTTTTCTGAGGGCAATAGTACGGGATGAATTCAGACTGTCTAAGTTTGAAGACGTTTTCAGTATTCGTTTCTTCGTTATTATGCAAGTATAATCATTTATGAAGCCAGTCTTCACTATGAATTCCCTTTTAAAGTCCTTCGCATTTCCTTACAGGTCATCAAAGCATGAAAACCACGACAAAGATTTCTTCAAATATTTCTACGCCGGATTAAAACTTCCGGAATAATTTCTTCATCCCAACTTCACTGGAAAAGAGACGACATACCTCGTTTTCCAACTTGCTTTAGCGTCTCTTATATTGGTCATAACGCATTTGCATATTTATATGAGATTGAAGAAAGTGCCGAACATTTACGATAGATTCATTGAATTCGCCTACTCTTAAGAAATTTTGATTAAAGCAATAACACAATGAATAGTCGCAAATCCACAATGGCTTATACGTCTGTTAAATGGATGACCGAATGACTTCATTGGTTTTATTTACTTTTGAAAATAACCCCACAGTTCATTTAATCTCAGCAAATATTTATTTATGAGATGTTACATCAGAATAATCAGGGAAAAGTTGGTTAAAAGTCGGAATCAAATTTTAGATTTATTTTCACAAACTTCTTCATCAAATAAAATACGAACGAAACAATATATTCAGTGGGCAGTGTTTTGGCCCAGGAAAAGGGGGTTAATTTGCTGAATTTTATGGCAGACAGGCAGACTTTGCGGGTAAGTTCAGCGTAAACTTCCTATCAATGCAACTTGGAAAGAGAATTTGGCAAATGGAGTTCGAATTGTGGACGCGTTCGTTACTTTCACTTTAGCACAAATACCCTTGGGAAAAGAATGCCATCTATGTCCTCTTCTTCCAGCTATAGTTTAGTTAGCAGAAGAGCTTGGTCTCTCATGCCTTGGTTGGTACTCAGTTCAGGAGAAGATCAAATTTAATTTAAAAGCTGGTCAGATTCAAGCTAGAACTACTTAGTCTAGCTAATCTTAATTAATTCTAATTAATAAGAAATAAGATCCAGTAACCTTTGCCATTCATACGGATATGTCACCCAACTAAAATACAAAAAGACCTTGCAAAATGATTCAAATTAAATATTGTCATTGTATCAATCTTAAATTATTTTCTATTTTGACAAGCCCTTACGCCGAAGCTTATTTCATTTACGCAAACAAAAACTATATTTGACTTTTTAAAAATAATAATGTTCATTCTGTATAAGGCCCTAGAGCCACTCGATGGGTTACAGAGTACCAGGCAAAGTGTATAGGGATATGTGGGGAAGGTAACGATTGACCATAGACTTGAACAGGTTAAGATTGTGGTGATCGAGGAAGCATTCTCTTGGGAGCCGGTAACACGAAGCTGCGTTTCATAGGAAGAAGCTGCTCGAGGGGAACTTACATCTCACCAATGGAATACGGAGAGAATAGATGTGGTTTGCTACAGCGTGTGTGTCATGGCGGATCTTAGACGTGAAGGTGAGATGGTGGAACAAAGGAATGTAGTTCGTCTTCCATCGAAATAGCAAGAGTACAGCAAGAAGAGTGCGACGTTTCGTATACTTAATGCAATCTCTTATCACCAGAAAAGTTATTGTATACATTTCTAAAAGAAATTTAAGCTGTAATCCATATGTCATGTTACTCGTATAAATGTAGCCTATACACCCTTAAAATGAGGACGTAGATAGGCCTTTTGACTTTATCAAGACTGGAAAGTGAAGAATAGGAAACTCTTGCCCGTATATGGCGACAATTTTCCATTTTCTATGGCACTTGTAGAAGTAGAGGAGAATAGGAGAAGTTTCCACAGGGAACCGATCCTTATCTCAGCATCTTGAGGTATGGATCTCATAGGTACGAGTTTCCAGGGCGTGCACACATACACACACATTTTAAAAAAAATAATTTCACCCCATGCAAGGCGAGAATGTCACGAGTACGCAGGAGAATACAGTGAGTGAAAATGAGAGAAAAAGACTCGGTTTAGTGAGGCATTGAGAAAAGGAAATATATGAATGGGATTCAAGAAGATAAAAGATGTCGATTGACGTTGCATTTAAACTTTTGAAGATTAAGGAAGCAAAGAAACGGAAGGAAGTTCCATTGTCGGTTAGTGCGAGACAAGAAACTGTTGGAGTAGAAGTGGTGGTTGCATTTAGCTATTTCAACAGTAAAAGGGTGGGAGCTAAATGCCAGTCTAGTACTACACTTAAATTCATGTAGTCGAGTAAACAGGGAAAAAAAAAAGCTCGTCAATCATAATCTTAAAGACCCTTTAAGGAATCATCAAAAAAAAAAAAAACAAATAAAAAAAAATCTACCGGAACTACAACATACAGTAATAAAAAAAAAAGCAAATAAAAAAGCAACAATAGAACTACATCAATCAGTTAGAGTTTTAGCAGGGAGTCAGATAAGATTAGCCAATGTAGGCAGACAAAAAAAAAAAAAAAAAAAAAAAACAAAAACAAATAAAAAAAACAAATAAAAAAAAATCTACCGGAACTACAACATACAGTAATAAAAAAAAGCAAATAAAAAAGCAACAATAGAACTACATCAATCAGTTAGAGTTTTAGCAGGGAGTCAGATAAGATTAGCCAATGTAGGCAGACAAAAAAAAAACAAACAAAAAAAAAACAAAAACAAAAACAACCCAACCTTACACGACACCAAAAACTTGGCATATATCTACAAATCCACAATTCGCCCTTGCATGGACTATTGCTCCCATATATGGTCTGGTGCCCTTCTGTTTGCCTCAGGGGTTCTTGATAGGCTGCAGAGGCGGATATGCAATGGTTGGCCCTGCCCTGGCGTCTCGTCTACAGTCACTTTCTCAGACGCGCCGTCGCCTCCTCTGTCTGTTCTACAAATACTTTAATGGAAATTGCCCGAGGAGCTGCATTCGCTGGTTCCCAGACGTCATGAGTTCCAGCACCATACGAGGCTGGCATACCGCTCTCACCGCTTCACTGTCGAAACTCCTAAATGTAGCCGTCTCTTCTACTCCAATAGCTTCATGTCTCGCACCTCTCGCCTGTGGAACTCCCTTTCCTATTCCTGTTTCCCTGTGTGCTATAATCTCCAGCTATTCAAGTGTAATGTCAATCGACATCTCCAGTTGCCTTGATCTATCCACTACCCTCATCCTTTCTTCTATCACTCCTATCTGATCTTGCTCTAAATTTTCTGTAACCCCTTGCGTCCTAGTGGCTTCCCGCCTTGCTTGGGGTGAAATGCTTAAAAAAAAGAAAGTATATAACAAACACTCCTACATCCACCAAAGCAGTGACCCCTTGATAATGAAAAACAAACCTTAGATCACACCTCCATTTCAAAACTATAAATGAGTAAAACATTCCATAGCATACTTATTCCAAACATCACCTGAGGATAAGACTGCCACCCGGTAGTTAGGGTATAATATTGAAATTAAACCTGAATACTGTATACTGAATATATATATATGGAGAAATATAGTCTGAAGATGTGCTATATCTATGGGATAAAGTGCTCAATATAGAGATAGAGCGTGTGTAAATATAAAAGTGAACATAGAAGTCAACACTTAGAGGTGACTGTTTCATGCTAGACGCAATCGTCAGGTTACAGGCTTATATATATATATATATATATATATATATATATATATATATATATATATGTATGTATGTATGTATATATATATATATATATACATACATATATATATAATGTATAGATATATACATTTGCGTGTACATGTGTGTATGCATGTGCGTAAATAAATACTGCATTATAATTTAACTTAATAAATATATGTACAAATTAAAAATTATTTAACATATCAGTTTTTAGTTATTAACAGAAATATTTAAAAAAATACCATATTTTTTATAGAGAGAAAGAAATCCGATCATCAAATAAAGTTAATTTAGAAAAATATCTACTGAGGACTGGATGTGCAAAAACGCTTTAAATAAGATGGGTGGTCTATTTTTACTTTTTAACTAGTAATTACATATATACATACATACATATATATATATATATATATATATATATATATATATATATATATATTTAATTTTTACACTCATCACTCTCTCACTCTATTTTCCTCTCTCCCTCTCCCTTTCTCTGACTGTCTCTCTCTCTCTCTCTCTCTCTCTCTCTCTATATATATATATATATGGAGAGGAAGTGAGATATCTCCTCTAGAAAGATGGCTACCAAGGCAGAAAGAACAGTTGGTCATTTCTCGTATTAGGAGTTCTTTAGCATTTTGGGGCTTTGTATCAAACGAAGCAACCTTAGTCTCTATCTATCTGCAGATTTCCTTTATATATATACTTATATATGGTTTTATATGTGCGTGATATACCGATGTGCAATTTACTGCAGAAAGCTATTATGCTAATAAAAACCAAAAATATAAATAAAAGGAAAAATGTTGAGTGATTTGGAGATAAGGAGCCACTAGCGAAGACAAAATGCGATTTAAAATAAACAATAGACCAAGTTGAAGCGATTTTATCAAATATTATGAATCTTTCATAGGATTTTTATTGCCTCACGAAAAACGAAAAAGTCCGCCTTAGGACTTTATGGCAAAGCTGTCGTCTTTTTTCTGAGTGTCTCTTTAAAAAACAAAAATGAAAAACGGAAAAGCTGAAAAGGAACGATTTTTTGAATAAATTTCTCGAAAGACATCAAAAATCCAAATGCCATGTTACTTGTGGCAATGCTGTCATTCGGACGGCATCTTTGTTTTGGCAACTACATTTGATTTTTTACCAAAGTTCTTCTTTTTTTTGGCTACGAATTCATTTTTCTTTCATTTCTATAGGCTAGAATAAGGTTTACCTTAATTTGAATTACATTGCAGAGAATTTCGATAGGAACCTGAAATAATAATAATAATAATAATAATAATAATAATAATAATAAAATACAAGAAATTCAGGAAGTGCTTATTGACATACAATCTGAGATCAACAGCTCCATGATAAATTATCTAGAAATTGTCCAAATGCAAGTTCATCGAGACTGAGATTACCAGGATGTGACGAATGTAGACTGAGACTGTACCAATAGTAATCGGACCTCTGGGTCCCGTGAGAAAAGGAATGAACAATTTTACTAACAGTATCCCAAGTAACATCAACATGCAAGATGGCCCTACAAGGAATATCCCATATACTAAGAAAAGTACTATCAATTGGACCCGGCTCTACAAGATACAAAACACAAAAACACAATAATAATAATAATAATAATAATAATAATAATAATAATAATAATAATAATGTACAGGGTTAAGAGCTGAAACCGAATGACCAATGCTTGCTAATTAGAAATTTACCAAGCCCATACTCTTAACCAGAAATACAAATTCTGTGATAAATATCCAGAAACAATTGACCATCTTGTATCAGATTTCACATTGTTAGTATCAACTGAATATAAAACTAGGCCAATATCT